ATCATACGATGCATTTCGAACGGGGCTTAAATCCGTTCATCATCAGGTATGTTCGGTTCTATCACTACATCTCAATCAAATAATTTGACTTATAAATATCTATAAGAGTCTTAACTGAAAAGACTTCCAACAATATTCAATAGACAAACTACTTGATCACTACATAATTTAATCTTAAATCCCAATAAGAAATTGAGAAGAAAAACTAAATTAAGAGAGACAAACGTAGCGTTTCTTATATAAGGTGTGTTTACAATATACAAGCAGAAACCAAGCCATCATACGATGCATTTCGAACGGTTGAAGTGGTTTTGTTTTCATGTTCTTGATGGTCGACGATGAGTTGGTGGTGTGGGATCATGATATTGTGTTATTAGTTATTCTTTTTTTTGCTTTAGTTTTTGGATGTTTGTTTGTCTTTGTCGCTGCTTGTTTTGGTCTTAATGATATTATAGTTTTTGTTGTTTTCGGAAAATGGTTTATTATGATGTGGTTGTCGCGTTTTATTTATTTTTGGAATGGTTTGTTGATGTTGGTGGTGGCTTTTCGTCTGTAAGTGGACATATGTGATGGCACGCTCTGGTTTTCATTGGGGTAGAAGTAATCGTTGGTGGTTTGTTTGTTTGAGGTTTCGGAGGAATCGGTTGGTATCTAGCACTTGTGCGGTCGATGTTTTTTTGCTTGATGTGGGTCTTCGTGGTTTTGAGGTTGGTGGTATTACTGTTGTGGATCGTTGCTTGAACCAGTTTTGGATTGTTGATGTTGTAGACGATGAGTTTTGACGTCGTTGAAGAATTGTGGAAGAGTCCTTGCTTTTGTATCTTCCGTTGACTATTTGCAATGGCACAAGGAAGCTTGTCGAGTAGGGCATTGAGTGGAATTTTGGAGGGTTGGGTTTAAAATATTCTAATGTTTTGTTTATTGTAGGAAAGCGGTTTCCTCAATCGAATCTGAAAAGAGAAGGATATATGATGAAATCAAGGTTTTGAAAAATAATAAGTTTAATTCACAACAATGAATATATATAAATGTCATCTTTATTTAGTATTGCTAGGATAATTTGGACGACTTTGTGGTTCGATGTCGATTTGTTTCCAGTCTGGAATATTCGCTAGGCAACATTCAAGATAAACTTCGAGATCTTTTTTGAGTTCGATCAATTGTTGACCTTGCAATGGACAATATAAATTTAATATATCTTTGTTTTGTTTTTCCTCCTTGTATTGAATATGATGACGAGACGAGTCATATTCATATTCGTCTGCATGTTGGCTAATATGGTAGAATATGTGTCGGTAGGTGTAATCGTCGATTTGTCTGACTATTGAATCTAACGTAATACCGTAATGATTAAAGATAGATTCAAGATAATCTTGTTCGTTTTTGTAATTATATCTGTTAGAACAGCATCGCATGGCACGATTGAGAACACTTTGAACTAGTGGTATCTTCTTTTGGATCGAATCATTTGATTTAGGTATAAACGCAAAAGGATAATCCAATGATTCATGATTAACTTTGTTTTCAATTATTCCATATGAATGACACAATTCAGCTTCAAGATATTTGACTTTGTTGTTTATTGAAAATCTGAGACGAATAGGTGAAGGCCGATTTTCAACCACTCGATTGCACATATCATATAGTTCCTTCGGAGATCCAGTCCATATCATAAAGGCTTCATCATGACATCTAGAACGTTCAATTCTCGATCATATATATGAATTCAAATAAGTGAAACATGTATACGGACATAATTGCCAAATATTTCAGTTTTTTCAAATAGAATATTGACTAAATTTTGTTGTTGATAATACATATTGATGTTGTTCAAAATTATGGTTAAGGGTGAGTCAGAACCATTGCCTTTTATTTGCCGATAAACTTTATTTTTATATAGAAAATATTGATTTTGAAGAAAGAAGGTAACAAGTTCGAGAATAGTTTCAATAGTAATCCCTTGAATTTGTCGATCTGGTACGTATTGATTAAGAAAACGTTCTAATGATTGAATCGTTTGTCCATGTGAAAAAGTCGTACAAATATCATCGATATAAAATATAGCAAAGAAAGTCGTCTATTGAAGAAAACCATTAGTCGCATATTTTTCAACAGCATCGATGGCATCTACACGTCGAGTAAATGTTATTGATTTGGCAACTTGATTATAAATTGGTTGAAGAATTGTAGAAACAAAACGTGAAAGAGCCATTGTGGGTCATAAATAACAGGTCATCCTAGCACGAAATGGTATATCGTTCTGGAAATAATAGAAACAAATAGATAAATAAAGAAAAGAAAATCAAAAACGAAACAGATACAAACTTGTCGTGTATCAGCATCGAAAGAAAGAAAATCTAATCGTATTCTTGATGGATCCATTCGAATTTGTTGAGATTGATCTTCACTAATACATTTGCGATCGAGTAGATCGTTTAATTTTGTTGTTAAGCGTTGCATAATCGTATTTAAAATGCGTCCAATATAATTATGATCTGTTCGATTCAGATCTTGTAGTAACATATAGGCGCCAGTATGATTCATATATTCGATTACTTTCTGTTTCATTTCATTTTCATGACATATATAGAATCGTTTATTATGATCTACTTCAAGTAGAAGGCGGTGTCGCATTTTTAATTGATGTCGAAGTGAGTGAATGTTACTGTAATCAAGTAAAACAATAGGCCAGTCCTTTTTTGGAAACTCATACATCGACTATGAAATAAAACAACAACAACAACAACAACCAAAACAACAACATATACCTCAAAAT